CCCCCCCCCAAAAAGACCCTTTGAAATCCAGGCTAATTGAAAGAGTGCTAACACTGGTAAGACAAATGAGTGATATGCAACAAGCCTGTGGTTTCTCTTCTAAAGTGAAGTGTTGTTTTCTTCACAATGGTATGATTAATACACTCAGGCAGGAATATTAATAGGCTTGTTCAGTTGTTGTAACATTCTTCCCACTGCTGTGCTATCAAGGCCTCGGAATCCAAGCCCAGGGGACCCTGAGCTCTTCAGTTTCTCATCTGGCACGTTTTGTATGTCAGTCTCGAAGCACATGTTGCAAAGATAGAGCAGCTATCTTTGCAAAGTGCGGCTCGGCACACTTTGCATTTTACAAATGGGGAAATCAAGGCACTCAGAAGTGATGTGTCAGTCAGCCACTTGCTTCTCTGTAGGTCACCTACCAAATCCTTGATGGTTTAGAAACTGTATGTTTGCTCAGTTCTGTGTTTCCCTTCTCACTATGCCATTCTTCCGGAGATTCTCCAGAGTCAGAATCCTGATTCTATTAGTTAAAAAATTCTGGAGTGTTTGGGGTTGTCAGGCAGCAGCACAGATCTATTTCTGTTCTCCCAGAGCCGCTTTTTAGTTTGATTTACCCACCAGAAAGACAATGTACTCTGTTCCTGCTCCACCTACTTGTCTCTCCATCTTCCTCTTCATAGTGCCTGTCATGCAAACTTGATATGCAGTTTCTTTCTGTGGTTATGAATTTCCTAGTCTTCCAGAGCAGATAAATTACATTCCCAATACACATATGCAAAAAACAAGACTGATGATAATCCAAGATGCTCTATACATTCATTGCCAAAAGGCTTAGCTTGAATCTGGTGATGGAAAGCCATTCCCATCCAACAGCTGTTCATTGGCCCCTGTGAGATGTATTGGTGGTCTCAACCCCATTCCACAAATGAATCATAAATAGGATCCACACCCAGAGCTTCGGCAGAAAATCTAAAGATAGATTGAACGACATGGGCACTGATCTCCTTTATCATCCCTGGAGATGACAAACCAGAGACTAACATGGAACAAATACCATTCTGGAATGAATTTCTCTTGGTACGATGATTGTTCTCTGGATAATTAGTCTTCAGTGTTTTTTGCCTTCAATAGGACTTCACTAATGTAAAGAAACCTTTCGGGTGTTTTTTGTGTTTCTGGTCCATTTCTAATAGATCCTGAGCCACAGTTGTTGGGTTTATCTGATCCTTTCTTATAGCAACAATCCTCACTTAAAGCTTTACAGCACAGAGAACCCATTAAACTGAGAAATAATGGAGTTATTGCCAGTGTTGGCCTGTAAAGTTAATAAAACCTGAAGCTGGAGCCCACTGTTCTTTATTGTGGTGCTAGTTTAAAAGATACAGGTTGTTTCCTAGCATGGGGAATATTTATTATGCTGAATATGGATGTTGTATGTGGTCACAGCAGAGCATAAGAATGGTAAATCATGTTTTGTCTTTATGAAGACCAGCTACACACGCACAGGAGAACCAGTTCTACTACCCCATCCAAAACACTGAGGCCAGCCTTGTGCCCTGTGGTCAGTTCCCCATGACAACTTGCAATACATTCCACTGGGTAACATCTGCTTTCTTTTTACCTCAGGGAACAAATACACGTAAATACATAGGATTGTTCTTAATATTTCCATTTGATCTGGAAGGGTTTAAAACCTCCACTAGGCACCTCACGTTACATGGAAGATTGCCTATTACTGCTCAAAATAACACTTATTTCATGTGTAGGAGGAGGAGGGAATCTGTTTATTCCAAAATCAATATTCCTACGTTCATTAAACATTTCACTTATTCACTTTTTTTTCCACGCCTGTGGTGGCGTTCTATCCTTATTTTTATCCTCACTACAAATACATTTTACTTTTAATTTCCATTCCTATTTCCAGATTTTAGTGCTTTACATTATTAGGTGATTGGAGCTTGACAGGTCTGGAGTGTGGGTATGTGGGTGACTCTACCATAGCCCTAATTTTCAACCTGGGATCTTAAACAAGGGTGGCTGAGTGTGGAAATCTGCTTGGCAAATTAAATTGATCAGACAACGTATACTTCAAACAGACTCAAGTGGGAATATTTCCTTGAGCTGCTCTGCTCCTCAGGATGTTTGAAATCAGTATTGAATTTTGAACTTTCACAGGCTTTTTTATTTCGATGAAAGGAGACGGTAGAAACTACCTTCTGTTTCATGCAGAATAGGCCAAACTAAGTAAAACTAATTTTCCATGACATGAGAAACAGGTTGGATAGGATGATGAAGTTTAAAAGTAAAAATGATAAAGAAAAAATAATATGTCTGGAAGGGAACTCAAAAGGTGAAGTAGCTCATTATCCTGCCCCAAGTAAGGATAATGCTGTGGTTAAAACATTTCTGTAATCCTTAGGAATCACAGATTTTATTCTTTACTGCAGAACAAGAACAGTATTGTCTTGGCAAGCTGGTTGGGCCTTATTCAAAGATCTCGTTCTGACTGATTTTTAGTGAGCATTAGATTTTTAGATATCATTGTAGCTCTTTCCCCAATCTTCCCATCACAGTCTTCAGACTACAGAACAGTGGAAAGAGCAGGCCCGCCCTTTTTTTACAGATGACTATCTTGATTATTAAAATTATATGGGCTAGTAAGGCAATGTAGTGTAGTGTCATAGGTTGGTGCAAGGGTATAGACTGTCCTCCAAGCGAGGAAGTTGTTCCTATATAGGAAGAACCTGCTCAATCTGTGTTGGCCCAGACAGAGCAGATTTCTAATAATTTCTATGTGAGTAGGAAATGATATAATTTCCCTTTACAGTTCCTGAACCGAGTCTTCATGCAGGACCTCATTTTGCATCTGGGTGCCTGTCCCTGCATGAGAACTGGGAAGAAGGAGTACCTGCAGCCACTTACTTGAAGTGCTTATATGTCTTGAGAATAGCAAGTTGGGAATTTTATCTTACACCTCCAAGTGAGATTATAAGCTTGCATCACTTTTACTGTAGTACAGAGCTCTGAAAAGTCAGTGCAGAGTGGGGTTAGTCTCCTGTATCAGATGATCCTGGCATAGGAGGCTCTACCCAAGAAACACACAGTTCCTTGGGGAAACAAGCAGTGGACCAGCTGTGATATTCAGAGTCACACTTTGGATCCCTCACCTTTCTGAAGGTAGCACAGTGGCAAGCCGCCCTTCTCTCCTTGTCTGTCCGAGCTGCTATAAAGCCTCAGTGAGAGATTCATCCGTTACTAAAGAAGCACTTTTTATCCCATTTATATATATATAGATATAGTCGACAGAATGAAATACCTTGTCATAACAACACACAATCTTCTTCTATTACTTGACTATATATATTTATTTTACCATCTGTGAAAGACAGATTTTGTTTTTATGGGCATTTAACAGACAAAGTAATATATATTTGATCTTCTTATTTGTATAACAGGCTCCAAAAAAGGCAAAGAAGAAGATAGAAGGTGGTTCCAATGTATTCTCTATGTTTGAACAAACCCAGATCCAGGAGTTCAAAGAGGTTGGTCACTACTCTACTGTTCTCTATAGTCTGCTGTCATTGCTAATGAATAACACAGGTTTTGTTTGTAATCCTATTCAATTCTCCATCTGCTTTAATAGAACACACAGTTGTTTTCTGAATCATCCCTGTGGTTTTGGCTGGTATATCATTTTCCTTGTGTGTTTGTTTGTTCTTTCCTTCATTCCTTCTTTTATTCTTTCTTTCCTCCTTTTTGTCCCTCCCTCACACTCCTGTTTCAAGCTCTAGACTTATTTGAAAATCCCCAAAGCCCCCACCCCAAAATAAAGGAAAATGATAATCTCATCCACTTTAACGCTGATCCAGGAAACACTTGAGCACATGTTTAAAGTTAAGTGTAAGTGGTATTTTAAAAAAGAATAATATTACATGCTCAAATACTATCCTGAATAGAGATGTCTTCTTGAACCAGGGCTTTAATCAGTGGACTGTTCTACAATAGCAATAGGAAATATTCCTTGTGCCCTTCTAATACTGCCCACAAACTGGAAACAAAAATACCGAGAAGCCCTCAGCCGACTTTCTCCATAAATGCCAGTAAAACTAAACAACATGTTGAGATTAACTATGTAAGCATCTTTTAGCTCCCAAAGAATTTGATATTACTGTGCATTGTAGGTCCTTTGTCCAGTTACCTGTGAGGAGATAGATCTAATGTGCTGGCATAAAAGCTGAAGCATATTCAAGGCAGATGATCTGTTTAATGAGTTTATGCTCTTATTCTGAGTGAACATTCTAGAGTGTCTGTGAGGCCATCACATTTTGCACTGTTTTGTCATTTAAAATTGTTAATTCACATCTCCAAAGCAATTTCCAATGTGATAAATAGCTTCTTCTTGTGCATGTGGCTTTCAATGTTACTTTTGATGAGGATTCCCACTAGTAAAGCTCAGCAGTGAAGGAGACTAAACCCACACAAGGACTGTGAATATGGCCCAGGTAGATGAACTGAAACCGCTAACCTTTTCCTTGCAGTTAATGGGAATGTTTAACACTTTTCTCCCACCTCTTCTCTGTACCCTGTGAACCTCCATATATTATTTTCTCCAAGGACTATTGCTTGAAGATGTACCAGCAAAAAGAACTGATCAGAATGCTACATTTTATCTACTTCATGTAAGATAACACCAGGAGCATTTCTGGGAGGATGGTGACAGAACAATGGCAAAAACATGAGGCAGTGGAATGGTCCAGTGAAAACCAAGACCATGTTTTGTCTAAAAACTGCATACTTGGAACAAGTATTTCTGAAAAGCTGGTTTTGATCAGGAAATTTTTATCTAGAGATTTCAACCAGCTCACCAGAAGATGTTTCAGCATTGCTGTTATTACATTAAGTTCACCCATTACAATACATACCTAATGCTCTTCCTGTCTTCTGTGAGCTTGCTAGGCTCTGCTTTGTTCTTCATATTTTCTTCTGTTTTGCTTCCAGATTGTGGGGATCACCATTTAACTCAAAGCCCCCGCAAAGGAGGGAAAGTAACTCTAAAGAGTTGGGCTTAATTTTTTATACGGTGATGGTTTGGCAGGCAAAGGAAGGGTTATGAACATCCACGCTTCAAGTAAATCATGTGAATAAACTGGAATGTGAGCAGTGGGGCTGTGTAAGAAACTGGAGGTAAAACTGCATCCAGTTTTACTGGATGACTTTAAAACTCTGCATCTTACTGTAGCTGCTATGGACTAGATGTGTTCTCAGGAAGAGGTTGTCTCTCATAATAATACTGAAGTAAGAATAATTCCTGGTCATTGTAAAGATGCACTCTCATATTTTTGTGGATGTCAGACAGCCAGCCAGCGTCAGAGGCATGCCTGGTTCAACTGCTATTCCCCATAGTACGACCAGGGGAATTTCAGGTCATTCAAATCTTTCAGAATCAATGAAACATTAAAAGTGTGATGGCAGCGAACAGACAAACATGCAAATATCTAAATAGATAGATAGGCAGTTAGCTGGCTTGTAAATAATGGTTAGAGTACATAAATTCTGTGTTGGCTGAAAACAGGAAAATAGCTGGGTTTTCTATCAAAAGTTAAGTTTTGCCTGACAAGAAGTATTTAAGGTCAACACACCAAGGTCACTCAGAGCACAGAGTACAGTCTGAGAGATACGATGTATTGGAAAGGGAAACAAACTTTGAATAACTAATATTATGAAACCTACACATCTCTGTACTTCTGAAAATTCAGCTATCTCTGTATGATGGACCATTTTAAGGCCCAGAAGAAACTGCCTTTAGCTTGATAGCAGAGACATATCTACAGTCATTCAATATTTTACAGAATACAATAGTTGCATGAAGCTGAACGGGATATGGAAATGGTACAAAACACATGGAGTAACTACTGACTAAATCCTCCCTAACCAGAGCCTCCCTAATTCCAACTTCTATGGGTTAAGGCCTGAATGGTGAGAGCTGCCAGCCTTGGCTTCAGCCCAGCTGCAAGCTGCACTGAGCATTAATGTAGTAAGAAGTTTGGGTGGGTTTAATTAAGCCCCTTGCCAAGATACAGTAATGTGTTGGAAGTGAGAAAACTGCAATGAGGTGGATGGATCAAAAGAAGTTAAATATTCTTCTTTACAGCATGAATATAATACCCCCCTGGACGGGTATGTGTGATTGTAGCACTGTCCGGTGCAACATGGCAATGGCAGTAAGTTTTCCCTTTTCTTCCCAACAGGCTTTTACCATCATGGATCAGAACAGGGATGGCTTTATTGACAAAGCAGACTTGAGAGACACGTTTGCTGCACTAGGTAAACTGGTAGTAAAAATCAAATACTGTAAAGAAATGCAGTTTAAGTTTCAAGCACATAAGAAAAGTTTGTATTAGAATTACAGTAATGAGATACACAGGAGGCAAAAGGAAACCTGTTCAGGTTGGTCTTCCTGCTAGCGTAAGGTGGTTGCTGTCTCAGTACATAGCTCCAGCTGGGAAGTCTCCTGAGCAGCCTCTTTCAGAAGTGAAATGCAGGTCTCTCTGGGACTTGCTGGCGGGTGCAGCCGAGCTGCGCAGCTGGCAACTCTCCAAAGGCACTGATCCCTCCCCGGCAACTATTTCATAAAGAGCCCACCCAAGCAGTGGTCCATGCCAAGCATGTCTGATTTGCTTCTGAATCCAGGCTTCACAGGCTGCACCTTTTTCATCTAGGAGCCATGCAATATCTACCAATTAATGTGTTGTCATGGACTAGCTGCCCCTCTGCCCACGCACAAGTGGGAAGACTCCATGGGAGGTTCTGTGCTGTTGTGCATTTATGTGGGGTGAAGTGTGCATGTCATGAGATTAGGTTTTGTCCATTCCGTGCACAGCACAGTCCTGATATTATCAAGCAGATTAAAGAAAATCTTCCCAAGGAAAGGAAAAAATCGAAATGCTCATGATCCCAAACCTGGAGTTGTATCCTTGCTGCAACATTTGAGGCTTGAACAGTGATGTAGGCATTTGGGCTTTTGCCATCTGGATCTTATTAAAAAGAGCTTGATAAGAATCTTTAGTGCTCCCTGGGGTGGAATAAGACACCAGCAGAGTCAGTGCAAAGAGCAGAAGCTCCTGAACTCTTTATTGTGACAATGAGATTTGCAAACTTTGGCCTGTAGCTACTGTTACCCTGAAATATTTATTTTTTAAGGCCAAGTTCTGGTATCTTTCCTGTTCAGTGAAGCCCTTCAATGCCTATAAAGTACAGTCACAGCAAATTACCACTCAATTTAAGTTGGGTTGTCAGGGTCTAAATTCTCATCAGTAGGACTGCACAGGGATAGAGAAGGGATATGACTACTCAACTCATCCATCTGCCATCTTCCCAGAAAGGCATCTCAGTATACAGGAGGGCAAAGACTGAGATCTTGGATTCACTTCAGTTGATTTGAACTCTGCTATATTAATATCAGTGGGGCCTGTATTTCACCTGGGGTAAAAAACCAAAACAAAACAAAACAAAAAAGAAAACAAATCCCAATTTATTTAGAAGTGCCCCTTTTTTTGTCCATTGCTGGCCACATCCCTATTATTTATCCTTCTACTCCTTCAGTCACCCTTTGATCTTAGAGCCAGCTCTGCCAATTTGTTTTTCACTAGGGTATTCTGGAGTTGTGTTCTACCATGTTATTAGCAAAGTTGCACAGAGCCCCGAGTTCCCCAGTGGGAGGAGATGAATGGGAATCATTTTTTGAAACACAATTTGTGATTTATTATGAAAAATTATCTCTGCTGCAGGTCGTCTGAATGTCAAGAATGAAGAGCTTGAAGATATGGTGAAGGAGGCGCCAGGTCCTATTAACTTCACTGTCTTCCTTACTATGTTTGGGGAAAAGCTGAAAGGTAAGTACCTTTGGGGGGTTGGAGAGATATCTGTCAAAGATCCTCAGCACTGAAATATCTCAGCACCTTGCAAATTATAATAATGTATCCACAGAACAATGCTTAGAGGCAAGGAGTGAGCTCCATTTTTGCAGACAGAGCTGAAGTATGAAAAGGCTAAGGGACGGTCCAGAGGACAGTTCAAAAGGGTGATTTCAGCTTACACAAGCTAACATGAAAGTGGTAAGTTGAGGTCCAGAAACTGATGAAATCACGGCAGCCTGGAGCAGAGGGCAGATGAGGTACGCAGTCAGTAGGTTCCTGTTGCTCATGCTGTAGTGGTATCACTCCCAGTGTTAGCTGGTGTAAAAGTATTTTCAGTATCTACAAAAAAACTTTCTGCACTCCTTTGGCTCATTACGCAAACATGACCTCTGCATCATCCTTGCGTGTTATAGGGCATGAAGGAGCAACACGGCCTTCCCTCATTTCTGTACTAGTTGTAATCCAGTGGCCCAGCCTTGGTTTCCCTTGAGGTCAGTAGTGATTTTGCCGTTGGATGCAGATTTCACTGAGTAAGTGCATGGAGTGGATAAACTGAAAGAATTTAAATCTCAGTGGATTTACAATGATAAAGGGGAAGGAGCTTGTTTGCCCATTGCCACAGAATATATAGGGATCATGGTAGGGAGTTCAGAAAATGGGGCTACTAAACTTGTTGTGGGAGCTAGTAATTTAGTTCTATCTCTTACACTGCTAATGGCTAGCAACTGCAAGAGAGGGCTTGCGAGGCCAAGAAAACCTCTAATGGTCTTCCTATATGCATTGGGGACAGGTGAAAGACTTGACCTTCCAAGCCAGGTTGGCCTTAGCCAAATTCCAGAAGTTTGTTAAAATAACTGATGAACAGAAAAAATGGAAAAATCTGATCCCATCTTCTTAAAAATATTCGTTGTATTGCTGCTGGACTCTGGCTTTATATTGCTAAGCACAATTTCGCTGAAGGGCTTTCTATGCTTGGAACAGAAAATAGAGAGGTCTGAAAGAAAGAATTAATGAGGCTAGTCCTCCCAGAAATACACTATTGCTAAGGAGCACAGCATGTCTGGGAAGCATAAGAGGTGATGGACACAGCTGTAGGCTGACCCTGAGGAGGAGATTTTATTACCTAGATATCGATCTGTCGTGATCACAGTGGTACCTCCACCTTTACATTCCAGATGTCAACTTGCAGTGCAGGTGGTGCTCTTCTTCCTAATCTTCCTTATGGGATATGTGACTATTTCTTGTGGGGTGCCCTGCTACCAATTCCTGTCTATTTGTGATGCTTATAATCACACAGGGCATGGAAATGAGCTCTTCTTCCTTTCCTCTCTTCCCTCTTGTCTCTTACGATTGCTGAAGCTGGCAAAGAGTCCGGCCCTGCCAATTGTGTGGCCTAAAACCAGAGCCAGCACAGGAAGGTGAATGGTAAAGCGTACCCCTCTTCTTGTCTGCAGGTTTCCTGTTGGCTACTAGCAGATGAGAAGGGTTTTTTTAATTTCCATTTGGTGAAGGGAAAATCACAGCTGTGCTTGTCATGCCCTTCTGGTTGGGTTTGTCATGCAAAGGAAGCAGAGCCAAAAGACTGCACATTCCCAATCAAAACTAATTGGGATGAAGAGCCTTTGTAGTGCAATTAGAAAGGGAGAAAGGGCTAGAGGAAGTGGATATGGCAATTTTGCAACACTCTTTATCAGCTAAGTACCACTCAGAGAATTTGGTGAAAGGTGCTTTCTAAGTAAAATTTGTTGTGCTATAATTGATTTCTGTCATAAAGGGGAAGCTGGGATTTTCGGGATGAGCTTTAGCTTTGTATATTGAGATTATGATGCCAGATGAACAGCTAACAAAACTGGGTTTATGTTAATGCCAACCACATGGAGATGTTTCTACAGGGAGTCAGAATAATACAATTTGTACAGAAAACAGAGATGCCGCACATCAAAGAAACCACTTTATTTACCAGCTAATCAATAAAGAATGCCTGCTGCATTGCTTCTCTTCAAAGCCAAAGTCCAAGGATATGACAGAGTAGAAAATGTAAAACACAGTCAGGAAAAAAAAAATATCCCCCCCACAGTGGTGACTACTTAAAATGCAGACCACTCCTGGGAGCTGGAAGACTTTCTCTTCATGGGACGATCAAAACTCTCATTAAATACCAATGCTTTTGTATTGATCATATATTCCTTGCAGTTTGAATACTTTACCTACAGCTTGGCAAAAAATACACATGGCTAGTGTGTGACAAGGAGACCATGTAGCCTTGGGCTTGTTCACTGCTATATCCACCAAGATACTACTAGTAGTCCTTTAAGAAGGCATCAGGAATTTATGTAGTCATTAGAGCAGGGAACTTTGACTGGCTTCTATTCTGGTTCTCTCTCTGCCAAACTTTGAACAATCTTTCAAACTGCCATTCTTCATGCTATTAACTTTTTTTAATCACGCTTTCACCATTTCAGCATCCCAAGTAGGTTCATTTGTCCATGGGTCAGTCTACCTGTTTGTAAATTTGGTTTCCTGCAGTTATAAATAATGATTTGTGTTACGTATGCTACTGTAATATTTTGAGATACTGGGGAATAGTCAGAAACGTATCCTTTGCTGGGGTTGAAACTGCCTGTAAGGGAGCATACTCAAAATCTGCAGTATTACAGAACAGTCAGAAACCCCAGACAAGGTTAAGGCACTGTGAAAGCTAGTCTCTGACCCAAATTTTTTCCAGTCTAAATAGATGGGACAGATAAAGGATGCAAGAAAAGGAAGACTGTTACTATCATTTTACTGTTGGGAACAGAGAAGCCGCGAAATTAAAGTCATACCAAAAGTCTGTGGCGCAGCTAAAAGCAGAAGCAAAATCTTGGAGACACAGTCAGTGCTTTAAACTATGCTTTTTCTATAAGTAACACTTAATGAAGGATTCTTAAGTGAAAGTGTGCTACAGAACATCAGTGCAAATCTCCATTTTACACTGATCATCCTATTTCCATTGCATTCCACTGACATTCTGATTTTGTGATGAGCTCCGTTTCCTTCAGTGAGGGAAATAACCTCTTCTCTATATAGTGAAGAACAAGTAACATCAGAAAGTGTTTTCACAAGGAACGTACTGTACAAGATTAAAGGAAGCCAGTGATGGAAGCAGTTTGTTATATTTTCATTTCTGAAAGCCACTAATCCTCTGGGTACTGATATCGGAGACCAGTTCCTGGAAGTTTTCTCTCCTGCAGACACAGAATAGATATGAGTTATTATTTTTAAGCTTCTGAGCATTGAACTATTCACCTCTATTGTTTATCTGACATGACAAATGCTGCTGACTTAAGAAACCTTTGTCTTCAAACCTACAACTGCAGAATTCTCCATTTTGCACTGTTTTCAAGTGAATGCAACTACTTAGCAAGTATTTGGCAGCTACAGAAATACATCCAGGCTTCTAAATTATATTTCATTAATTTTAGGCACGGACCCAGAAGAAACCCTTCTGAATGCCTTTAAGATCTTCGACCCAGAAGGAAAAGGCCACATAAAGGCAGACTAGTAAGTTTATTTCAAATCCTTTAAAAATAATAATAACAACAACAACAGCAACAACTGTACAGGTTGAAAGAACTGCTTAAAAGCAGTATTTTTCACAGTATTTTAAGAGACAGAGGAACTATCAGGGACAGAAACATTTAGCTTTGTAAGCCAGAGTGAAAAGGCTGGACTATTATATGAATGTATTTGTATTGCAAAAAGAGATGTTATTGTCCTCAGACATTGCAAGAGGCAACGGAAATATAATCACATGTAGGTCATTAGATAGCCTTTTTTGAAGGTCTGGATATAAATCAACACATGACTCTTTGTAGATTAACTCCATATGTAAAATTAAAATGAATGTCTGGTGCCTAACTCTCAGAGTGCTTGACTAAAATGGGAAAGCTAGTCCCCTTTTAAAAAAAGTGATCAATTTAATTAACTCGGGGACATGGTTTTAGTGAGGACATTTTCCTTGTTAAGTGTTTACTGCTTGAGCCGTCTGCTTCTAGACAATAATATGCTGTAAATTTTCACTAGATATAGTGGGCGCCAAACCAAATAATACTATTAATAATAAGGCAATTATTGTCAATATAGCTATTTTTTAAATCAGGAGGCAGGACCTAATTTGTATTCATAACCTGTTACACCAACGAAGCAGGATAAAAGGAATTTAAGTGCTAATTGCACAAATGTAAATCCTCATTGCACTGCCAGAATGGTGTAAGCAGGCCTTCAGGTGAATGAGATAAATGATACCAAATCAGGGCAGAGGATGAGGAGGTGTGACCTATGTCTCCAGTAAAATGCTTTATGTGCCTAGATTTATGCATCTGCTTAAGTTCCTTGGGTCTATACTTTTAATGCAGCAGCCATTTCAGGTAGATTTTATAAAACATAATACGTATAGGAAGTTTATTAGGGTACCATGAATTACAAAACTGTATTTGCATAAAGGAATTCTACTAATGCTGAGATATGCTAAATGAAAATGAAACCTGTTACGAGAACCTCTGGGGTGAGGTTTTCCATGACATCTTCTGCAATTACTGTTGTCTCCTAAAAATTAGTTGAAAATGCAAAATTCACATACAATATTTCCTTCTGTTACCAATATGGATTTCTATGACAGTGGCACTTCATTCCCAGTAAGTCTGAGACTCCTGTTACACTAAGCAATATGCAAAATAAAAGCAAAGAGAGAGTCCTTTCACTTCCAAATGAATTAAAACACAAGTGGATGTACCAAACATGCAGAAGGAACAGAGGGTTAACAGTCGTCCTGATTGTTTTGTGGTTAACGTTATCCCAGTCAGCTTGGGAAGAAGAGTCAGAGAAATACAGAAGTGACTCAAACAATAAGAATAAAATGTAGCCCGTTGCCAAACAGGTCAGATCACACGGTAGTGAAATCACTACCATGACATACAACCTTCTGATAATACAAAACCCATGAAATGTTGTATTTCCCACCACTATCTGTAACAATATACTGCATACAAAATCTGCAGCTTGCCGCCCTGTGTCCAGTTCTACATTCCTTGGATGCTGGAAGCCAGCTGGAGTTTGGGGCAAATTAGGAATGCAGTATCACACTCCAAAATTAAGATGAGAGAGAAATACTTTTAGTTTTCCTTGATGGAAAAGGTCAACCTTGTCCCTACCCCCACTGCACTGCTAACATTAGACAATTGTTTTAGTTCATCACCACAACAGAGCATAATGTTTACTTATTAGACCCGAGGGTAATGCTGATCATTACAGAACAAACCATTAAATCAATTCTGTGAATGTCTTTGAGGTTTAACTTCTATTCATATGCTTCCAAAATTTAGACATTTCAAGGTTTTGAAATAATTTTTATGTTGGCTCATGCAGCCATTTCAATATGACAGTTGATGTTAATAAATAATATTTCTCCATATTAAAAAATCCTGGAATGTTTCTCTCTAAAACCAGCCATGTTGACCTTTTAATCAGATCTTTGGTTTATGTTTTCATGGAGTTAACATCCTTCTGGGGATTTTTATGTCTCTTCCCTCTGCGTATTTTCACCTCTAGTCTGGAAATGACTCACTCAGTCCATCTGATGGTAGCTGGGATGGAGGCTTCTAACCTTTCCAGAAGCTCCAGGAGTTTAGAACTTACTTCCAAATCCAATGACAGACTTTGTTTGTCTGCATCGTTATACCACACATAAAATCCTTCCTATAGCATGATGTCAAAAAGAGAAAATGCTCTAGGTCAGATTCTCAGCTGGTGTAAACCAGCATAGCTTTTGGAAAGGTTAGATGATTCAGCCTGAAATGCCATTCATTGGACGAAGTGAGTCAGTCCAACATCAACTGTGTCTAATGCTGATGCCAACAAAACTTTTCAGATCTGTAGCAGATGAAAATGGACTGAGGGAGTTTACGTGCGTTCTGCACCTCTGGAGATTAGTTTGGCCGAGCAAGCGATGCTTCTCATCATAGCTGTAGAGCACTGCTCATTTCAACTCACCTGGTTTCCGCCAAGAGAGCACTGTAGAAAGGGCAAACCCAGTGGAAAACAAAAGTGTCCCAGAGATTTCACTGATAATTTAAAAAAAGGTTCTGAAAATATAAGATTGCAACAAAATATTTGTATCTGTAGGAGGAACTGGTGCCAGCCAGGACAAGAGGTAATGTTTAGGCTCCTCTGTCAATATGGATATCCTTTTTTGCCCAGAAGATGTCGAATTTTAATTTTTTTTTTTTTTTTGAGAAGCAAATAGGCTTTGAGAAAGAAAAAAGATACACAAAGGAAAAAGTGCATAATCTCTAGCTTTGGAAATCGTGAGTGTTCGTTTCCCTATAAAATAAATAATGGAAAATGTGCACAGATCTTTAACTCAGTCCTTCTTCCTTATGAGTGTGCCAGAGCCTACTGGGCTGTGCATCAGAAGATTATAATTAGATATTTGATCTTTCCTTTTCCCCTAAATACTTTAAGCATGTGAATAGAAGACACATAGTGCCCAGACCTCTGTTTAATTCAGTCCTGTTTGTGAAGAAGTTGTTTTTTAATTTCTCCCCTCTATTCACCAAGCTCCTTCCTGTATCACACTTCCTATTTACTAACAGACGAATGCTGTTTGCCCCAGTGTACATATATCCAATAATCAATTTATGCTAATGAGAATGATCTCTCTACTCTTGCACCCACCAATCATTTGTGAATTCTACCTCAAAAATTGCAGTGGTGTAACAAATGGCCAGGATAATAAAACAAAAACGGCAATATGAGAGAAAGGGATGAAGACTTTGGTAAGTAAAGAGAATGGTAAAGTAACGCAGGGAAAATACATACAATACCCTGAGCTCTGTCTGTGACTTCAGAGTACTTCCCAAACCTTGCATGGTATTTACACTCTTGTACCTGTGGGTAAGATTCATTACCCAGAAACTTCTTTTTTCAGTTTTCCCTTTCAGTCCTTCACATCAACAAGAAAGACTCAGAAGTGCCTTTGCCTCTTATGCAAATCAGGATGTGTCTTTGTTGTAGCCTTTTACTGGAAAGAAGTACTTTTACTGGAAATATGTCAGAGATATGAAGAAGCACGGTTGTAGCTTTGCCACCAAAACTACACTTGTATCTCTGTGTGACTTTTTTCACTCGAGATGCAGGGTATATGGGAGCAGAAAGCTTTACTATTGTGCCTGAACACCTGCATCCACAGTAGGTGAACTTCACTCCTATGGAAGTGTTCCTGTGTGGGCATGATTTCTGTTACAAATAGTTACTTTTAAATATCCACTTTGAAAAGCAGAAAGGGCTGTTTCCAGAAGAGCTTTTGCTCTCCCCAGCTCACCCCACAACGAAGTCCTACAAAAGTAGCCTTTTTTTTTTTCAAATTGCAAACTAAAACAGATTTCTATACTTGTTTCGGCTTCTTTTTTTTTGTACAACAGACTGCTCATCTGTTATCACATATTTATAGTCTCTTTTACTGATCTAGAAAACAATCATAATAATGTATAAATACCTTTGGTAGTAACAAAAGGAGATAAATCTGCCTCTTCAGTGTGAATGCAAACTCTTTGAGATTAATACAGAAATTCTTCTACAGGAAGGGCAAATTATTAGTGCAAGTGAAAGGGATGTTTATGTGATAGAACCAAGTTCACACTGGTGGGTATTCCAGCACAATGTGCATGTACTGCCCTCAGCACGTGAGTAACTGGCATTTTATCTAAAGGGGTCAGACTACAAATGGTCATCATTCTTCCGGGCTTTTCTATTCACCTGTAAACTTAGGTAAAAAAATTACATGCTTCACTGACTTCCCACAATGTGTTTGAAAACAGAGGGTAAATCAGCTGAGCGGCTGTCCCAAAAATATTCTCTTTGATGTAATTGCATAGGATGCAGATTGTGCGTGGGATAAGTTCCTTGTTACAGTGCTGTAACTCCAGATCAAGACATTGTACCATGAAATACAACAGGTCTCATGCAGTTTCAGAGTCTCCTCTGGGAATGACTGCATGCAAATAAAGGGATTCTCAGATGATGATTCGGAATAGCTGTTGGAGCTCTCTTTCAAGTTCTCTTTCTCATTTCATGCTCTGTTCCTTTCATCCTCAGATTTTACAGAGAATATTCTCTTTTGGTTTTGTTAAATGATCCAAACTTTAAACTGCAAGTGAGAAAACCTACCATTTTAGGTTAAGATAAGCATACAAAATTGCTGTATTTCAATTAGAGTAATAACCTTAAACAATTTTAAACCTCTATAAAATGTCACAAAAGCAAAATAAGTTGGCAGAGCGAGGCATTGACACTGATGGGTGCCTACAGAAAATCTCTTACAACATCATGTAAGGATTAACAGCCCTAATTTATGCGGTCACACAGATTTTCTTTCATGAAATTTCAGGAAGGATCTTGCCATCTGAATTGTCATGTGCCATTATCACCATTTAATCAGGTTATTTTGTTTTATTTGAACAGCATCAAAGAAATGCTGATGACACAAGCAGACCGGTTCAGTCAAGAAGAGGTAAGGACCACCTTCTTCATTTGAAATAGGAATCTAACTCCAGCTACTATTCAGCAATAGGTATTTGCCCCTCTTTAAATACGGGAAGTCAGATGGAGTCTAGGCTGAGAGAAGGTTGATGCCAACTCCAGCAATTAGGAACAATTCAAAGCATCTTTTCAGAATAGCTCCGTGGCTAAATCAAAGTCAAAAAGATTCTTTGGACTTCCATCCAAGTATAAGCATGGCCTATCTCTTGCTGTTCTTTCCTATGGTGAGCTGGGCAACGAATTTACTAGAGTTCAAGTGGGTTTGGGTGGGAACTGTGGTCTGCTTTCCATTTGTGAGTTATTTTGTTTGAAATCTGAAATGAGTTCTGAAATGAGGTACTGATGATGTGGTTTGTGTGAGACTGAGCATGGATTCTGCTGGCTGTGAGGAATTTAGAGGGACATTATTTTCAGAAGAGGACATTGAGTGGAGTTAGTTTGTGGCAAGAACAGACAGGAGTGTAGACTCTAGTACATTCTTTGAGCAGGGCTTACCTGGATTTCAGGGAGAGCTTTTATTGGGGAACTTGTTGGGCTTCTACCAGGACTGCATTAACTAGTTGGGTTGAAAATGTGAAGCAGTACATGTTGCTGTCCCACAGTCCTACGTTTGTAACACTTACCTCCTGTTTTCTTGGCAGATCAAACAGATGTTTGCTGCTTTCCCTCCAGACGTCTCTGGTAATCTTGACTATAAGAACCTCTGTTACGTTATCACCCATGGTGAGGAGAAAGACTAAGAGGAAAGAAACGAGCTTCTCCTGTGAGGATGCACTAAGTTGTTTCATAATGCTTTTGTGTGCAAGACAAAGGGCTGAACATTCAGTATGTGAAGCCATGTGGTCATCAGAAGAGAACCAATAAAACAATTGAAATTAGATTAAAGTTATTTAATGCTCCTGTTTTTATAAAAGATGGAAATACCAATTTTGTGATTCCCCCCCCCCCTTTTTTTTTTTCTGTCAGTGGCTTGAAATGGAATTTTCTTGATAAACTGGTGCTTTTGTGATTTATTGACAATCCTAATGTTCACCAGATGGTCCATTGGGCACTGTAGTCTTGCTTAACCTCTTCTCTTTTATACACAAGCTCCATGTGTTAATTGAGAAATCCTCTAACTTACTGCACCAGGAAGAGTATTTGGTAAGTAGAATTCTGTTCCATTTCACAGCCCCTAGCAATGAAAGTGTAAATAAACCAATCTGAAGTTCTTGTGAATATGCAATATGCCCTCTCTGCCTCAGTGATGTGGCCAGTTTCACAAGCCACTTGACTCATTTGCTTTCATGCAAAAGAAAAGAAATAGTGGAATAGTGGCTATTTTTCTCACAGTAAAGTTTACTAGGCACACTTAGAAATGACTAATAATGAATTTCCCCCTTCAGAGGTACATTTATTGTATGTAGGAGGTTGCCTATGAAATAACAATAATGCCTGGTCGTTCACCCACTGGTAATTAGCTTGTTTTATGGGTGAGGCACACATTGGAAGGATGAGTTTTGCCAAAGATCGTCAAAAGTCTAGGTACAAAGACAAGAAAAGAACCCAGGGTTACACATGAAAGCAGACTCCCTCTCACTTTTATAATCCAAGATCAGTGTAGCTTGTAAAATGGGCTGCAGTTTCTTGTATTTGGACTTCTAGGAACTGGACATATTCTGCCTATGTGGAATATTGCATGAATGCTTCCTGCGTGGGAGTCAGAAGGGTGTCGCAGCCAAAGTAAAACAAGCTTCTGCTGTTTTAACAGCTAATGGAAATGATTTCCTTTTGCATCAGTGCTGTTGGCACCACAGGCCCACAGATGAGAGGAAGTAACAAACCACTTGTTTTCTGATTCCAGCTTAGCCTTTATGGAGAGAGGGTTTGAGGGCTGGGTGTCAAAATCTGCCCTCATTGGGAGGGGCAGAAATTACATGAAAAACTTTAGCACCTGCATGACTCGGGGATGTGGCATTCATCCCCACCTGCATTTTTCTGCTGTTCCAGCAAAACCCTGCACTCAGTGCACTTCAGTTCTATAGTGGACACAAAGTTGACATAATCAATCTCACCCCTTGCCCCATGTCCAGAAGCACTATGCATATTCCTGTAACAGCAATGTTTTTCTGCTATAAGTAGGTGATTCCCAGTTGTATCTACCAGTAATTATCTCTCTTAAAAATCTTGGTGGACACAGCTAGAAGCAAAATTTGGCCCTTTCTTGCACAAATCTTGCTGAAGATGTGGAAGGGCCGTATATTCCTGTAACATTTGAAACAATTGCATGGTCACCCAGACCTGTCCCTCCCAAGTGGGTGCGCAGCTTGGCTGAGCTTTGGGGACTAGGGGGACTTCATGCAGTGCAAGAGTCTGCATGACCTCTTCTTCCACCCCATAGTTTATTCACCAGAAGCTGAGCTTTCCTGTACAAGAACAATTCTCACCTCTAATTCACACAACGCCTCTTCTCTCCCCAGAATGTGTTCTTCTTCATAGGCATAGGACCGATGCTTATGGGATGGGGTGGTAGATAGGCAATGGGAGGTCATGGAGGTAGAGGAATTTCAGTGGCACATGAGAAAAGTTGACTCATGAGCTTCTGCTTTAGGCCCTTATTGAGGCCCAAACAAGTGACTGCACTTCTCAGCAAAGAAAGGGGCTGCTAATGAGAGAGGGCTGCAAAATGGGTGTTTCATTTACAGACTTCATTTGGAAATTACTTGAGCAGTGGGTCTGGAAAATGCTCTTGTATGGCACAAACACACATGCAAAATTCAATACTACCTTGTACAAGATCCACAAAATCACATACACACCCAAATGACTACTGAGTGTTCCACTAATATGAGCTGAATTACTCAGCCATCAGATGTCAGACAGTGCTTATGGGTTTTGCACTGTTTAAAGCTCAGAATGAGACTGAAGACTAGATAAAATGGCATACAGGCTTACCCCAGGCTATCAACCTGGAAAGGTTTATTTGTCCTCATGGAAGCTGATAGGCAAAAATTTTGAGGATAATGCTCTTGAAAGATGAGGTCACATTTTTCCATCAAAGCATGCACACTTTTTGATAGGTCCATTTTTCATCTGTTACTGCCCAGTTACGTGGCTTCTTCTAGTGCAGCAATGTGACATCTTAGGCTGATGGAAGTCTGGTCTGAGCAGTTCGACATTCTCTCCTTGCCCTGGCTGCACACACACACATCCCTCTCCCCCTGCAGAACCCTTATGACTCTGAAATGGTTCATGGGCTATACAAAACCCCAAGTTCCATCTGACCCTACCTATTTGTCTTCACATTTTTTGCAGTTCTGCTGCTCCTTCCTCATTTGTGCACACTCCTCTCTTCAAAATTAATTTATACCTTTTTTCCTGTCTGTTGCCCCAGAATTACTGCACTTCAAGGGCAGTGCAGCAGACATGTGCCTATTATAGACTGTTCAGAGCGCGCTGGGCTACACCACCAAGCTTGTTACTCATTTGGGCTTTTGGACCATCATGCAAGAGAATCTGGAGCTGTAACCCTCCCCTCTGTAAGGGGGAAGGACAGATGTTCAGATAAATATCGTGAAAATATTACAGGCTTGTTCTAAGAATCTTTATCAATCCCAATTTCACTTCAATCCCCATTTTAATTTGGGGACAGAGCTTATGGGTTTTGGATGCAGATTCAAATAACTAAAGGGAACAAAGAGCTGAGGTTAATTCCACAAAACCGATTCTCACCAAGCATCATTAAAATGATCAGATGGGAATTGAACTTGCATGAACCCTGGCAGTTGCTCTTTACTGCCAGCCCTTTCACAAACAATTACTATTTGGATGGGAAAAAACAAAGGAACAGCGTAGAATTGATAATGTGTTTTATTAACTCTTAAATGTTTAATCCTGTAAACCTTTCTGAAACCTTGTGAACGGGTAGAGCAGCCTTTGAAATACACAGTCATAAAAGGCAGCGAAAGGTTCTCATGAGTTTCCCAGTTTGTTGTTCTGCTTGGAGGCAGGATCGTTGTTAGAAATGTTTGCCTGACCTGTCTAAACTTTCTAGGTAGCCTCAAGTCCAAAGCTAGCCTTACATTTATTCATGTTTCTCCCTGCCATCTAACTTAAATCTTTCTCTCTGCAAATTAAGCCAATTTCATCCTTTGCATCCTCTTTGTAATGATCGTTAGCGCACTGGAAGATGGTTTAGGTTTCTTTTTTTCCACATTCTTTTTCCAACTTTTCCTCTCAGCGATCTTTTCTGCACTTCTAATTCTTCTTTCACTCTTTAGGATTACCTTAAATTTGTGCATATATTTCTTAAAACATGGTATGCCAACTTGGACACAGAATTCCAGCATGAGCCAGAATGCAATAATTATTTCAGGGGTTAGTTATCTGTAAAAAAACATCACAGCCCCTCACACACACACACCACACCCCCCCCTCAGTGATTCAGCAGCAGTGGAAGTTACGTACGTTTGTAGGCAGTGTGCGTAAAAGTTTATTCCAGGCCTGTCTTTCTGCGTAACTGCTTGCTTCAGCTCCCCTGTAGCCTGCTCTGTCTATCCCAGAAACTTCCTTAGATCTGATTCCTCTCTGCCTCTGTTACCTTGGTAATGTGCCAGCATGAGTTATCTAAGGACATACCTTGAATTTTCATTAATGTTAAAAAGGTGCAGATTATATGAAGTATGAGGTTTCTATGTGAAAACAATGCCAATACTGTTTAATATTTTCATTAATTACCTGGATGATGGGACTGAGTACAACAAATCCCTACTCTTCTCAGTGGTGTCCATTGACAGGATGAGAGGCAATGGACACAAATTGAAATGCAAGGAATTATGTTTAAACTTTTTCACTGGTGGTCAAATATTGGAACATGGAGACTCCATCACTGGAAATATCCCAAACCCAACTGGATATGGTCCTGGGAAGCTTGCTCTAGGTATTGCTGCTCTGATCAGTTTTGGTCTAGACTATCTCCAGAGGTGCCTCCCAACTTCAATAAATCTGTGATGCTGTGATGTTACATGCATCTGTGTTGCAAATGCAGCCCCAATGAGACTTGCCTTTTACTGGGTTGATATATGTACTGGGTTTGCGTGCAAGGTTTTGGTAGCTGGAGGCCTCAGGGCTGGTTTCGGTGAGAAGCTGCTGGAAGTCTCCCTTATGTCCGACAGAGCCAATGCCAGCCGGGTCCTCAGACAGACCCATCACTGGCCAAGGCTGAGCCCATCGGTGATGGTGGTAGTGCCTCTGGGATAATGCGTTTGAGAACGGGGGAAAAAAGCCCGCAATTGCAGCAGGAGAGAGGAGTTAGAATATGTGAGAGAACAACCCTGCAGACCCCCAGGTCAGGGAGAAGGAGGGGAGCAGAGATTCCCCGGCAGCCCCTGGTGCAGCCCATGGTGAGGCC